TATATATATATATATATATATATATATATATATATATATATATATTACTTCATGGGAGGAATGTATCCAAGAGGGGATACTTATGCATCATAGTGGGGGTGGATTTATCTTAGAGGGAACAAAAATATATCCGAGAGAGGATTATGATATTTTAAGTTTTGAATTTATGTAACATTTTCAACAAAATATGTGAAATTATATTGGGCCCGTATCACGGGCCTTAAATTATCTAGTAATTTAAAATTGTCATATATCTTTGTCCTGCTATGTTAAAAGAAAAATTCCTTTTTAATTATACTCATTTTGTTTCATATTAATTAGTCACCTTGCTAAAGATATATGTCTCAAATTATTTATCCATTTACTAAATTAAGATAAAATTAATTATAAAAATTATTTTTACAGTAAATACTATTTCCGTCAAATATAAATTTCTATAAAATCTCTTCGCCTTTAGATATCCATTTTATTTTAATAATAGGTTCATTGTAATTATTTTCACTTAGCACTGTTCCAATTTTTTGAGTTTCAGTTTGACAAATATATAAATCAAACCTGAACTGAAATAAATTTTGTTCAGTTCAAATTCTTTAATTTTGATTTGATTTATTTCAGTGTGTTTTCGATTTGAATATCATCTCTCTCATACTTGCTGCCTTTTTTTTCAAGCTAAAATCTTCATTTTTTGTAATCTCTTTCAAAATAAGATCAAACTTAATAATTTTTACAAAATGCACATTATTAGTGACATAATATGAACCAGAGACCTTAAAAGTATACAAATAATTTCAATGAACTAAATCATTGACCTCACTTTTTTTTTCAATTAGAATTGGTGAGGAAACTTGCACTAGTTTCATCTTCACAGAGATGGGTACAGAGAAAAAAATCAAGAAATCTAATATCATATAAAATATATGTTTCAAATGCAAATTCAAAGTTTTGTGTTGTATCAAGCATCAACTATGTAGAATTTCATCGAGCGAAAACATCTAAACATAGTGATTTCTTACAAATTATCAATTGAGATTCACAACATTCTTTTAACTTTTAAATTCTTACAGGAGATTGTTTAATGTATTTCACGGCGTGTCTCTCGCTTTACTAATTCACCAACTTCCTTCAATCCATCTTACACGATAAGATTAAGAATATGTGTCATAAACCTCACATGATGAAGATGTTGACCCTCCATTATGTTGGTTTTCCAATTACTCAATTGCTTAGACAGCTTTTTCACAGTAACATTGTTGGAACTAGCATTATCACCTGTTATAGTAAACACACTATTTAAGCCTCAATCAAGCAAACAATTAGTTATGGAAGGTATTATATTATCACCTTAAAACTAGAAATAGGATACAAATATATTGAAAAAATTATGCAGAGCTCAATTTATATTTATAAAGTGGGTTGTTAGATGTAGGTAGTTGATTCTTTAAATAGATGTCCAAGTATTTATCATAAGACAAACTTTTGTACGTGCTTCTCTTAGCAAAGTTTTACGAGAAGAAATATGAAATTGTGATACTGTAACTTTCATGACAACTAGTCAACAATTACCATTTAGCCTAAAGCTCTTCTACTTTGTTCAAATTTCAAAGTGCTAATCATCCATTTTCTGATCTCTTTAAAGATAGTAAAAAATTTATTAGTGCTTGATCATCATCTACGGCATAGAAAAGTATTGGACAATATTTTTTAGTTAAATGACTTTTAGTAGTTGAAGTACCATTATCTTTTGTACCATTCCCATAAGTTTTTCCACAATAATTATGGATATGAATAAACTTTTTATGGATGAATCAAAATCAATTCTCAACGATGTAGTGGGATGCAAACACGAAATTTTACTGAATTTGTTCGGAAAGAAGATTTTGGTCTTTTCCATGTTATGGTGTATGTGTTTTTTCTTGTACTCTTGCTATACTTTATTTTGAACGATGTTAATATACTATTTTGGATCATTTTCAGTCTAATAATTACAAAGTTTTTCAATGGAGGGACAAAGAAGAAGTGAATCCAAGATCAAATTTTATCCTTCCAAAATTGGTGAACAAAATCAATGAGTTGGAGCAAGAATTATGTATTAGACATGTACATATTGACAACTTGAGGAACTCTAATTTGTTATTGAAGAGGAGACTCAATAAAAGGTTAGATGGTGTAGGTTCAATAGGAAGATACTTTTGTGTATTTTGGTTTGTGTTGTTGCTATGTTCATCAACAACTAGTAGTTCAACATATTTCTCTT